ACCGACGGATCCCCACAGGTGACTGAGATGACCTGACCCTCCCCTCTTGCCTTCTCAGTCTGCTCTTTCCATCCAGTTCGGTGGAATTCTTCCCTGACACTCTCACCACCATGTCTGGCTACTTCTCCAGGCCTCCTGGCTTCTGCATCCCCATCTGCCTTCGGTCATTATGGAATATTTTGAGTGTTTTGTTCAAGGGAATATTTCAAGTTAAGTTATAAACGCAACTGGAAAAGTCAGAACACGAGCTGAGGCTCCTGGGATGTGTGTGGCCTAGGAGGAAGCCAGGTGACATAATTCCCTGGCATCACAGTTATCATCTTGGGACAGATGGAGGAACTGAGACACAAGAAAAGCAGTGGCTCCCTCATTCATGCAGAAATGAGCCACAAAAACCTGGTCTCTTGACTTTCAGACTCCAAAAGGGTTTTTGTTTTGTATTTGTTTTTGAGACTGAGAAATATAGTGAATTTTTAGCTAAGGGCAGAGATGCCATCTGCTATCAGTATGGGGAGATCTGAGGTGTATCTCCCTTAGACCTGGGCAGCTGGAGCTTCTGCCCTGGGCCTCACACCTCAGGGCTCTGTGCTTCAGAGCACATTCCTCAAAATTGTCTGTGCTTTCCTCTGCTGCCTGGGGCCAGCCAGGGCCAGCAGTCCCATTGGGGTCGAGCACCTCCAGCCTGGACTGAGACCTGCATGGGTCCTGATCCTCCTCTCTCCCTTTTTGGCTCTTTCCCACCCTCTACTCCTCTCCTCATCACTAGCATCCAGGGCAGCCACCTTACTGGACTGCAAGTCTGCAAAGCCAAGGGGCCCTTCCAATGGATTTTTTCCCCTTCTGGTTAACAAGTGCCCTCCCAGGTCAATCTTGAGCTGGGCAGGATGAGGAATGGACATTTGTTGTGTGAACAGACCTCTCCTCTCACTTTATCCATGAGCCCCTCCAGGACAAGCTACATAATTTGTGGGGTCCAGGGCAAACTGAAAATGTGGGGCCCTTCATTCAAAAGTAGGAAAAAAGTGCTGTTAAAGGCACCGAAAATCTCCCAGCCAAACAAAAACCCCTACTTTCTCCTTTCTTCTGTGAGCTGTCATGGTGTTGTTTATTTGTCATTTACTGTTGCTTCCCCTCAGGCATGGAGATACTCACAGGGAGAGTGCACAGCCTCCCAGGCGCCCGGGTCCCATCCCACTACTCAGCATGTCCCTGGGCGAGACCACCAGCAGCCAGACCCCCCTTCCCGCTAGCTGCTCTGGAGGTCATCAACAAGGAATGACTTTTGAGACAGTAATTGGAAACCAGAATTGAGGGGCGGATAGTGGGTGATGCAGCTGCAGGAATAACGATGCAACTGGGATTAAACAAATGGTACTGGGAACTGCAGAGGGAAGAAGGTCGTACTCGTCAGGGTTCTCCAGAGAAATAGAACCCATGTATATATGAAAGATACATAGACAGGTAGGTAGAGGGAGGGAGGAAGAGAGAGAGAGAATGAATGAGAGACATATTTACTTTAAGGACTTGGCTCTTGCAATCCTGGGGCCTGGCAGGTACATAATCCACAGGGCAGGCTGTAAATTCAGGTAAGAGCTAGTGTTGCAATCTTGCACCTGAATTCTGCAGGGCAGCGGGCTGGAAAGTCAGGCAGGGTTCCTAGGTTTCAGTCTTAAGGAACCTCTGTCTTTACTCTCAAGGCCTTCAACTGATTGGATGAGGCCCACCCACATTGTGGGGGGTTATCTGCTTGATTCAACGTCTACTGATTTAAATGTTTAATCATATCTAAGAAATACCTTCACAGCAACGTCTAGATTGGTGTTTGGCCAAAGAACAGGGCACCAGAGCCTGGCCAGGTTGCTACATAAAATTATCCATCACAAATGTCTATGTTGTTTTAATACAAACAATAGAGAGCTATGACACTCTGTGTAATAACAAAGATGTTGCCTTTTCTTGTGCTGGGAGATCTGAAACTAGTCACATCAGACAATAAATAAAAGGAAGAGCTCGTTAACAGTGCCTGGATCCTAAGAGGAATCTTCACATGCTCTGGTTGGACAATAAGCAGATATGTTGGCACCTCTTCTCTACCATTATCCAAATCTTCATGGGTAAGTCACTATACCTCACGTGGGCCCATGAGTTTTGTAACATTTTTTAATCAAATTGTTTAAATAGACAGAAACCCCACAAAAAATATTTGCCCAGGCCCCCCACACCACACCATAGGAGCAGGAGGGGTCCACATCCAAGGACTGGGGCTGTAGTTGGAGCCTGACAGTTTTCTTGTGTGCCTAACATACAGTGTCTCCGACTGTAATAAGAACAACATTGAGGACCAGTCCAGGTAGCTTAGTGGTTAAGTTCAGTGCGCTCTGCTTTGGCGGCTCAGGTTTGGTTCCCGGGCATGGACCTACACAACTCAACTGTCAGTGGCCGTGCTGTGGTGGCTGCTCACATACAAAATAGAGGAATATTGGCAACAGATGTTAGCTCAGGGCTAACTTTCCTCAGCAAAAAAAGAGAAAGATTGGCAACAGATATTAGCTCAGGGCTAACCTTCCTCAGCAAAACAAAAAAAGAGAATGACGTCCACTCTCCTGAGTGGACCAGACACTGAGCTGCAGGCTTGCCAAATACTCCTCACAACAATCATGGGACATCAGAGAAACCAATATCCCATCTTATAGCTGAGGACACTGAGGCTCAGAGAGGGTCAGTGATTTTCTTCCAACCAGGTAACTCTGACTCCAAGTTTAGGTTCTTAATAATCACACGATACGGGCTCCATGTATCTTCTTAACTGTAGCCTCAGGACCCAGCACAATGCCTGGCACGCAGAAAGAATTCATTAAATAATTTTTGTGTGAATGGATCGAATGACTGAATGAATCTCCAATATTCAGCAGAAGGCAGTAAATGGTGTGTGAAGTCGGCTTAGTGAATTAATTTCCAGTTCAGATCGACTTAGGAAGGGAAGTGTCCACCACCAAACAGACTCGGGACCGGTATTGGAGTAACCAGTTTTAGAAGAGCACATCCTGGTGGTGTGTAATTAACTCGCTATGCAACCTTGGGCTTGTACCTTCTCCAGAGGGCCTCAGCTTCTTGCTGCAAGCCATTTGGTCCAGATCAGGAGTCAGCAAACACTTTCTGTGAGCCAATATTTTAGGCTTCCAGTAAATAATTTTGATCTCTGACACAACTATGAGACTCTGCTGTTGTAGTGGGAAAGTAAGTAAACGCAGACAATACATGAACAAATGAATGTACGCCACGTTCCAATAAAACTTCTTTAGAAAAGTAGGCAGTTGTCTGGATTTGGTCCAGAGGCTGTAGTTGGTTTACTTCTGGTCTAAATGGCCTCTGAGACCCCTTTTAATCCTAACAGTCTATGAGTTAAAGAATTAGAACCAATTGTGTGAAGGATGGAAATGATCATACATGTCATTACCCTCCTATGGTGCCCATGGCAGACATTGCTAATTGAGCACAGGGTTCTTTTCTGATGAGAAAGGAGTTGGCCTTATCAATCAATCACAGATAGAGAGCTCTAGCTGTAGCATTCTCTCTTTCCCTCTTTAAGAAGCAAATTATTTGGAAAACTCCAGATACTCTCTTGAATGTGACATTGAAGAAAATAGGAAGAAACAGAGAGTGGGGGCTGTGGCAGCTTCTCCTATGCTCATCCCTGTGTGAGAAGAGTCCAGTTGTCCCCTAGGTCGTGTAAGTGGGAACCAAAATCCGGAATCTAAGCCACGCTGTTGAGCTGACAGTGATATTGCCCATTGGTGGAAGGCAGACCCTCCATCTTTCTCTTTCTTGCCCTCCTGAGTGCTCCAGCCAGGAGTGAAAGCACCTGGCTCCTACTCATTATCCAGTCATGCTAACTTCCTTCCTTTTCTTTTCCCGCCAAAATGTAGACCATTGAGTGACTTCGTAGAGGGATCTGCTGCCAGCTGGCTGTCTGGTTGGAGAAAACTTTACAAATTAGTTCATGGGGAGCTGTCACTACTTGATAATGCATGACTCCTTCATGTCTATTTGAGTTTTTACAAATCTTCACTTTGAGGAATGAATGGGGAAATCCCAAACATCAAGAAGTCACATGATATTGAGGCAAGAGCTTGGGCTTTGCAGTTGGACAAGTTTGGGTTGAATTCTAGAGAAAATAACGCTCTTGATAATTAGAAGCAATCTAGGCAGATTGTATAGCACATAGAATAGGTTTACTATATAACAGCCGTAATTTTTTTACCTGTAGGGGATTTTGGGATGGAAAGCATCCCTCTAATGTCTCAGATTATACACTATAGTCATGTGCCACATAACTGATGTTTTGGTCAACAATGGACCAGATATATAGCAGTGTCCCATAAGATCAGCACCATATAGCCTAGGTGTGTAGTAGGCTCTACCATCCAGGTTTGTGTAAGTACGCTCTATGATGTTTGCACAACCACGAAATCACCTAACAATGCATTTCTCAGAACGCATCCCCGTCAGTAAGTAACGCATGACCGTGCAACTAAATGTTGATTACAGTGACCGGTGAGCTGCCTTGCCACTTCAGCAGCCAACCCCTTCCAGCAATTGCATGAGCAATCAGTAGAGAATTTCACAATGCCCGAGAGTCCGGGAATGTGAGAACTGGGGGTGCATTGCCCAAGTTCTCAGATGAGAGGCCACATCTTCCGTTTCAGCTCCAGATATAAATAGCATCTGCAGTGACCCCTTCTCCCCGCCTAACCTAGAAGGCTAATGGGCCTGGGGCCCCCACCATGTTTAGGGTTCTGATGGACACCTGAGATAGCCTCCTTATCAGCCTGCTGACATCTTCCAGGCCAGCCTCTTCTATTCCTTCCCTGGCAGTTATTCTGTTATCTCACAGTCTTGCCTGGGATGGGAAAGAGCAGCTGTCTCCGTGGCATCGGGACTGCAGGTCTCTCACTGAGCTGCTTGTGCAATTGCAGCTGGGAGGGGCCAAGGAAATTCTGGTAGGGCCACACCCACTAGCGAAAATATAAATAGTGAGGTTTGGCATTGGCCGTTAGAACTACCTCTGTTCTCACCATGAAGTCCAGCAGCCTCTTCCCCCTCGTGCTTCTTGCCCTGGGAACCCTGGCACCTTGGACTGTGGAAGGTGCTAGAAATGGTGAGTTGGAGTCACCCTCATACAATCACGGCTGCAGGGTCAGAGATGGGGGCTCCTGGTGGTGTGGGGATAGCCCCTTCTCTAGGCTCTGCTCTCTCAGCTTAGTTTCAGGAGACCTCCCTGAGGGTGGGTTCGTGTCCAGCTGGGCTCCAAGGTCTCTGTGAGGGCCTCTGAGCATCGCTTCTGTTACTCAGCCACTCTGTCAGCCCAGGCCTCTCTCCCTCTCCGTTCTTACCTCCTCGCTCCCCCGTCACCCTGTCTGTGACTCTGTCATCTGAGTCTCTGGTTCTCCTGTGTCTCACTCTGTTTCTGTCCTTTAGTTTTCCTGCCTCTGGCTGTAGTTCTCAACCTGTCACGTTGCTTCCATTCGTCTTTGTTCAGTTCTCTCCGTCTCCGTCACTCCCAGACCGCCTCCCTGCCTTTGTGGAGTCTTGTCTTCCCGTGGGGCAGGAAGCTTTGGCTGGGAGCCCTATGCCTTTCTCCAGAGTCTGTGACTTCTCCTGCCCATGCCTGTGGTTTAATCAAGCCTGTCCCTCTCCATGGAGGTCAGACAGGCATTTCCCTTCATACTATGTGGACAGTGACCTGGGGGAGGGTCTCTCCTGGAAAGTGGTGCTTTGTCCCCAAGTCGTGATGGCCTCTCAGCACCCAACCCCTTCCTGAACTCTTGACCTTTTCTTCAAAAGCTTCAAAAGCTGGAGCCTGCCCTCCTCGAAGGCTTGCCCAGTGCTTTAGATATGAGAAGGCTGAGTGCCAGAGTGACTGGCAGTGTCAAGGGGAGAAGAAATGTTGCCGGGATACTTGTGGAATCAAATGCCTGGACCCCATTGCCATCTCGAAGCCAGGTGAGGAGGTGGGAGAGCAGATGGGGAGGAGTGAGCCTAGAACACAGTCTCCACAGGGACGGGAGTGGGGGATGGGGTCCTGCCAGGCCTCCCCCTCTCCAAGAATTATTGAGCCAAGTTTGTCTGCTGGTCAGGGAGTCACATTGCCCTAGATAGGAAGTCACTCACCTGGCTGGTGAAGAAGCCAGTCTATCAGGAGGTCAGTTTGTCAGGGAATAGTCATCTGGTCATTAGATAATCAGGCAGTTGGCAACCACCCATCCAATGAGCTGGACAACTGGTCACATGCTTTGCCTGGGGGCCTGGCGTTAGAGGAGAGCCAGATCCTACCTTCAGGAGATACATAGGCCTCAGGAAGGAAGTGACGGTCATGGAGATGGGGAGGAGGTGACTCTGCTTGCTCAGGCTGGGGCTGGGGCTGGGTCCCAAAAGCAGGGGAGTGGTGTGGAAGGTACAAGGCCTCTGACCTGTGACTCTACTCTCACCAGTTGAGAAGAAGCCTGGGAACTGTCCAGTGCCTCCTGGCCAATGTCTGATGCTTGACCCCCCCAATCACTGTGAGACAGATGGCCAGTGCCAGGGTCACCTCAAGTGCTGCACAGGCATGTGTGGGAAAGCCTGCATTTCCCCTGTGAAAGGTAAGGAGGGGCTGGGGCAGACTGACCTCCCGGCCTCCGGCCTCTCAGTCCCAACCCTCTGGATTGAGCAGGAGGCTCATACGAGCAGGGGGCTCCTGATCCCCACTCCAAGTGGAGCCTCTGCCTGATCCCCTTGTCTTTCAAGAGCACTGTTCCCCAAGCCTCAGGGCAAGGATTTCCACAGGATCATTCCTAGATTTGATTCTATCCCAGCCTCTTCGGGTGGGGGCCCTTGGCAAGTGACTCTTTGAGTCTCAGTTTCCTTATCCGTAAAAGGGACCCAGTGACCTTGGAAGTGCTCTGTAAAGCACCTGCACGCTAAGCATTTATTATTAAGGTTGTTTCCAGCATGCTGTCTCTGGTCAAAGCCCAAAGGATCAGTGGATTTTGAGAATTTTCTAGCTCAATGCTCTGAGTTTAGAGTTTTACAGTAAAATTGAGACTTGAACTCAGTCTCCTGATACGAAGACTCTTTCAACTACACCATCGCCTTACTGTTTTCTCTATCTCAGGGGAAGAATCTGGAGATGATTTCGCTGGTTCCTATATTGAAGCGCTGATCTGATTTTCTCTCACAGCCTGATTTCCGCAGTTTGGAAAAGGCTCTGGATCCTCTGTGTGGTCTTGGAATTCCCTTTCTGCTCCCAGGCTTGGATCCCTGGGGGACTTCATGGTGAAGATGTGGTTCTACCATCAATACCTCCTTTGGGGAAAGCTTGGCACACAGCAGGCTTTCAGGAAATGCCTGTTGATTGGTGAATAAATAAGTGAGCATATCTCTCTCTGTACAGCCTGCTTCTGTGGTTCACCGGGGGGTCCGAGTTGGGTGGGAGGTGATGAGGGAATGTCTGGACGTGAGGCATCCCTCCTACAGATGTGGAGAGGAAGGAAGAGGCTTAGGGGCTGGACAGACACGAATTTACATCGTGAGTCTGAAAAAACTGGCTCTGTGATTTTGAACAAGTGATTTGTCTCCTAAATCTCAATTTCTCTATCTGCAAAGTGGCAATAAATATCACCTTCTTACAGTGTTTGGAGCTTTGAGGTGTGCAATGTATGTGAAATAAATAGCAATCTCATTGGACCACAGCAGGTTCTCCAAGAATGCCTTCCATGGTGATTTTGAGCCTCTTTCATTTCTTGTCTCTCTCAAAACACTATTTCTTCTATCTTAATATAAATGTTGAATAGCACGACATACACCACTTATCAACCCAGCAGGAGGACTCTAAGCACTTCCGTCCATTGCTTTTTGGTGGCAATCTCCAAGGAAAGCACAATGCAGCCAAGCGCTGGATGCAACAATGCTTTATTCACACAGAGAAGAAAGCTTCCATGGTGGGCCTCAATCTCCCATGGTCAGGGAGTCTCTCCCGGCAGCAGATGCAGGGCAATTTACCTACATGCATCCCTCTCATGCGGCAGCAGAAACACTCCATCCCCTCCCCACAAAGGGCAGGTACAATAGTGGGGTTGGCCAGATGCCATATGGTGTACAACCACGCAGAACAAAGGAGCTTACATTGAGCTTGAAACGGGGAAAGATCTTCCCACACAAGGTGATAAGCCAGGCACACGTCTTGCGGGCTCTTTTTCTCTTGGTAAGCAAGTATTTCAAGTCCAAGCCCCATTCTTGTGTAACCGAGTGGGGGATGCATGCATGAGACTGCCTTTCCCAACAATGAGAATATTGTCATGGTGGGTTATGGTTGTGACATGCTGTTGCCCACTGCTACGTGAGGGTGATGTCGTTCTTGACTCCACGGAGCAGGAAGATACCAAGAGCCGGACTCCTAGAGCCAGGGACAAGCAGGGCATCTCGCTCCACATTTCTTTGTGTTCTACAGACTCTCACGGAAGTAGAGAACTTGATTAGAAAGTGATTAAAAAAAGACAAAACAAAATTGTAATGCAATAATTTCCCGGAAAATGTCACTGGTCTAAGAAAATATTCCATACTAATTTCAACCAATGTTCCCAGAGCAGCAACTGGATATATTACATTAACCATTTCAGAGAAGAGGAAAAAGAGGAGGAACCATTTTATTCACTTTATGAGTGTAGTAGCCACCCTTCAAGATGGCTCCCTAGGACCCTCACCTCTTGGCATTCACACCCGTGTGTAGACCTCTCTGACATTGTCGCAGTTGGTCTGTGTGACCAATGAAATATTGCAGAGTGATAGATAGTTATGTTCTCATGAGATTAGATGATAAAAAGATTGTGGCTTCCATTTTGGAAGTGCATGCTCTGTCTCCCATCATTTGCTCTGGTAGAACTCAGCTGCCATGTCGCGAGGACACTCAGCCAGCTGTGGAGCGGCCCATAGGGTGAGGAGCTAACATCTCTGGCAAGAGCCTGTGAAGAATGGAGGCCTACCAACAAACACACAAATGAGCTTGGAAGTAGATTTTTCAGTCCCCGTCTAGTGTGGAAATGACCAAAGTCCCAGCAGACAGCTTGATTATAATCTTGTGAGAGACCCGGAGCCAGAACCACCCAGCTCAACTGCTTCTGAATTCCTGACCCTCAAACTGTGAGACGATGTTTATGGTTTTAAGATGCTTAGTTTTGGGGCAATTTGTTATGCAGCAATAGGTAACTAATTCAACGAAGTTAGCAAAAATTTGGTATTACAACCAAATATGGACAGTAGAAGAAAAGATAATTACAAGCCAATGTTGTCTTCTCTGACCAAAGCTGGGAACATCCTCAATAAAATGCTAAAAATTGGAATTCATGAGGGTTTAAAATGCTTTCATGAAAGTTCAATGTGAACTCTTTATTAAAATTAAGAATAGAAAGGATAGAAATTAATCCAAAAATAAAAAGGAAAGCTACCTGAAACTCTAGCAAAACATACATTAAGTTGAATTTTCAGAGGTATGGTCACTAAAGTCAGGAACAGAACAAGGACCACTGCTATTTTTCAGCAGCGTATGAGATCTACAAAACTATCCAATAAGACGAGATAAAGGGATAAAGCTTTTCTACACATTATCTCTAACCAATTAGAAATAATGAAGTAGACACAAACAGTCAAAGAAACGAACCTTACAATATACCTAGAAATGAACCTAAAACTCTGCCAGACCTTTCTGGAAGAAAAAAACCCAGAATTTTATTGAAGGTCTAAAACAAGGACTGAATCAAGAGAGAAATAATGTTTATGTTTGGGAAGATCCGTAAGGTAAAGATTGCAGCTCTTTAAAAAATTATTTATAAACTCAACGTAATTGTAATAAAAACTCCAACATGGTTTTTAAAGACAACTTGACAAAGCGATCCTACATTTAATTATTGTTATAAAGGTTGAAGAAGAACCAAGAACATTTTTAGAAAGTACAAGAATGGAACCTAGCCAGACCAGGTATTAAAACATTATTAATTATATTAATTACTAATTGTAACAATTGATGTAGTATGATGTTTGCACTGGAGTAAACAAATAGTCTACTGGAATAGAAAAGAATGTCTAAAAGGAAACCTGCGCATTTGTGGAAATTTGTTACCTAAAAGGGAGGAATTTTTACAACTAGATAGGGCAAAGTTCAAACTCATAATGAAGGCAATAGGCTTTTTTTTTGTTTTAAGTTCACACAGACAACTTTTATTGAGTTGAACAGTAATCTTTAACATAGTGTATTAGTCAAGGTTTTCCAGAGAAACAGAACCAGGAGATTCAGTAGGATATATCTTTATATTTATTGTGAGGAATTGGCTCATGCAGTTCTGGAAGCCGAGAAGTCCCTTAATCTGCTGGCTGCAAGCTGGAGATGGAGGAAAGTCAGTGGCTTTAATGCAGTTCAAGTTGGAACGTCTAACAAGCAGGGGAGTTGGTGGAGTAAATTCCAGTCCAGGGGCGGGAGAAAACGAGGTGAGATGCCTCAGCTTAAGCCGTGAGGCAGGAAAAAAGGCGCGAGCTCCTCCTTCCTCCGTCTTTTGTTCTTTTTGGGCCCACCCTCCACACATTGGTTGATGCCCACCCACAATGGAGAGACCAATCTGCTTTACTGAGCCCACAGAGTCAAATGCTAATCTCATCCAGAAACATCCTCACAGACACACCCAGAGACAATGCTTAACCTGAGCATTCCATAGCCAGTCAAGCTGACGCATAAAATCACCACCACAAGCTTACCCATTGTCAACTTGGTACCCATATATATCTTTTAAAATCATACTTAATAGCCAAGTAAAGACAACACAAGGTCATAATTCTGCCAAACATGATACAATTACCCTGCATACAATCCAAACACACTAACTCCTTCCCCAGAAGAGGAGGTAAAATCCTTGAGGGATGTTTGCCCCCCTCCTTGAGATCCAGCAACTTAAGTCCTATGACGTAAAAATTAACAATACTTAAATACTAAGACATACAGTCAATACATCTTATATTACATGATAGGGTAATAAGAGACGAAAGAAAACACACACACAAATGTATTCATAGCAAAATCAGGAGGAAATGTCTTGACAATTACAGTCCTCATTTCTGGAACTGGCCAAGTGGTCGTGGCTGGTATGTATAACCAATTTTTTCTACTATTCATTCTATATTCCTTTGTCTTCAGCAAGCACCTCAGCTGGCTGCGATTCTTTACCTGGTAGGGTGACCCAAAGCTTCACTCCTGAAGGTTCTGGGCCGTTAGTAGGCTTGCTTGGATTGGGTTGTAGTAGTTTTCTCATGACCTTAATGACAGAGCATGATAGTACTAAGAGATACCTAGGGATCTCCTGTATTCCAGACATACTCTTCCTTCCTCCATTGTGGAACAGGAGTCCACTTTCTCCTTGGCAGTCAGGATCAATCACCCCAGCCAGCACCATAACTCTCTTCTTTCCCTGTTGATTCAGAGGCATGAGGAATCCAAAGTGGCCGGATGGCAGTCTTAACTTCCAGTTCAGTGCAATCATTGGTGTGTCTCCTGGTGGAAGCATTCTTCCCTCTGGAACTAACACCTATAGGCCAATGGCGCACAAAGTCACAGGAATAGGAAGTAAACGTTTTGCTAGTGGGTCACTAGGGATAATAGTGAATGGTGCCACTCCCATTTCCACCTCTTGATTCCTAAATCCATGAATCTTGGCTATGGGAGAAACAGCACCACATACTGGGAACTGATTGAAAGCATATACTGCCTTCTGGAGAACCTTGCCCCAGCCCTGCAAAGTACTGCCACCTAGCCACCACTGTAACTTGAGTCTTCAAAAAGCCATTCCACTGTTCTATGAAGCTAGCTGCTTCCGGATGGTAGGGAACATGGCAAGACTGGTGAATTCCATCAGCATGGGCCCATTGCCACATTTCTTTTGCTATGAAATGAGTTCCTGGATCAGAAGCAATGTTGTGTGGAATACCGTGATGGTGGATAAGGCATTCTGTGATACATGGATGGCAGTTTGGACAGAAGCATTGCATGCAGGGAAGGCAGTTCTGTGTCCAGAGTAAGTGTCTATCCCAGTAAGAACAAAATGTTGTCTCTAACATGATGGAAGTGGTCCAATGTAATCAATCTACAATCAGGTAGCTGGCTGGTCATGCCAGAAAATGGCTCTATATTGGGGATCAGTGTTGGTCTCTGCAGCTGGCAGGTTGGGCTCTCACAGTGGCCATAGCCAGGTTGGCCTTGGTGAATGGAAGTCCATGTTACTGAGCTCACGAATAACCTTCATCCCTGCTGCATGGCCACTTTGTTCATAAGCCCATTGAGCAATGGTGGCTCTGGAAAAACGCTTATTGGAATCCACAGAACATATTATCTTATCTACTTGGTGATTAAAATCGTCTTCTGCTGAGGTCACCCTCTGGCAAAAATTCACATGGGACACAAATATCTCTATTTTTTTGCCCATTCAAAGAGGTCTATCCACATACCCCTTCCTCAAATTTCTTTGTCACCAATTTTCTAATCGTGTTCCTTTTCAAGTCCAGGTTCCCCCTTCATGGTGAATTTTCTGAATTCCAAGTCACCCACACTCACAGACTCTAGCAGACTTGAGATAAGGTGGCCACCTGGTCATCAAT